CACACACAGACACACACACACACACACACACACACACACACACACACACACACACACACACACACACACAGTATTACCTGAAGGCCCTGAGGAACGTGACTTTTAGCTGCTAGTTTTGACATTTAGGATGGATATTAGTGAGCTGCTGTCAGACCAGGTGAAATATATGTGAAATATATCAATATACTATTGATGCATATAAATAAAAATTATGAAATGTCATTTTGTGCCTTGATTTTTAATACTGTATTAAACATTTCGAATCAAGTTTTTTCAAGTAATTCTGAGAAAACTCATACACTACAGGTCGGAAAGATTTTTTAAAATGTTTTTGAAAGAAGCCTCTTCTGCTCACCAAGGCTACAGTTGTTTGATAAAAAAATACAGTAAAAATAGCTAAATATTATTACCATTTAAAATAACAGTTTTCTATTGTAATCTATTGTAAAATGTAATTTATTCCTGTGATCAAATCTGAATTTTCAGCATCATTACTCCAGTCTTCAGTGTCACATGATCTTCAGAATCATTCTAATATGCTGATTTGCTGCTCAAGAATAATTTCTGATTAATATCAATGTTGAAAACCATTGTGCTGCTGACCAGTATTTTTGTGGAAACCCTGATTTATCACTTTTTCAGGATACTTTGATAAATGTAATTAAAGAAAAAAAAACAGCATTTATTTGAAATAGAACTATTTTGTAACATTCTAAATGCCTTTACTTTCACTTTTGATCATGCATCCTTGCTGAATAAAAGTTTTAACTACTTTCAAACAAAAAAAGTCATTGTACTGACCTCACCCTTTTAAATGATAGTGTAAATGTTGAGATATATTGAATATTACTATTCTAGCATAGTTTTAAATAGTTTGCGTGTATGTGTGCAACAGTAGTATTGTATGTTTTTTGGTAAGACTGTATTTCTGCTCTTATGTAATTGCTCTGAGGGTTGATCTTGGCTCGGCACCATCTGTTTTAATGCTGTGTGTTTCTCAGTAATGAGGCGCTAAAACACCAGCTTGTTGCGATTAGCAGCTGGTCAGTAATGCTGTCTGTTGAGGACAAATGCACAAATCCAGCCTGCTTTCATTATGCACTGACATGAAGGGAATCTCGAATAGAAACTGCGTTAACTCTGTTTATTAAACTAGCAGCCATTCTTTTGCACTAATTAAAGATTCCCTCAAGAGCTCATTATGACACTAATTTGTTTTGTGCTGAAGCTGAGCGATGAATAGTAATTGTATTCTAGTTGTATTTCTGCATGAAATATAAATAAGATACCAGTGAATGAATTGAAGTTTGCTATATTTAAAACCTGCCTTAAATGATTGATTTGGACCTTTTACAGTGATGCATTTGGTAGATGCATTTAATCAGATCAACTTGCATATTGTCATTTATACACTACCGGTCAAAATTTTGGGGTTAGCATGATTCAAAAAAAAAAAAAAAAAGAAATTAATACTTTTATTCTGCAGGGATCCATTTAATTAAGTGACAGCACAGATATTCATGATGTTAGAAAAGTTTTCAGTAAATGTTTTTTTTTACTATCTTTTCATCAAAGAATCAGCATATTAGAATGATTTCTGAAGGATCATGTGACACTGAAGACTGGAGAAATGATGCTGAAAATTCAGCTGCGCATCACAGAAATAAATTACATTTTACAATTGATTACAATAGAAAACAAGTTATTTTAAATGGTAATAATATTTCACAATTGTACTGTTTTTTTCTGCCTTGGTGAGTGGAAGAGAATTCTTTCATAAAATACTTTTTAAATTTGTTTCCAGTCCCTAAGCATTGTTGTGCATTTTATCGGTTCATGCATTTTATGGTGTTAGATATGGCTTTAAACAATAGAAAATTAATTATTGATCATATTCTATTGTTAAAAATTGATTTAAAAAAACAATAATTCACAGTTTTGGCCTGTTTCATGTTAGTAATGTCTTTTAAATATTAAATCACTATAATTTCCCATGCAAAAGGTATACATATTAATATGCATTTTTATTGTGTATATTCTACATACTAATGTTTGTGCATATTAATGTCTAGCACTGTGTTTTTTCTTTTAAAGAGAAAGTAAGGGTAAATTTCACTGTCAAGTTGTGGTGAAGCTTTCAATATGAAAAATGGTCTTTGTTGAAGAACATGAGTCGGCTGCCGCTGTTGGCTACATTAGTAACCACGGCAACTGTCTTGTAGTTGGATTGCACTTTCATTCTCATAGAAAATAGAACAATACATTGAGGAACTGGATGAAAATACAGCAGTGACCTCAAGCCATGCATATGACCAAAATGGGAATTTTAGTTCATTTTTAAAGCAGTGCATTTGCTTATCATTATTTACTCACTCTTATGGCATCCCTAACCTGTATGGAGCTTAGCAACTGTATAGCAATGTCCTAGCAACCACCCATATTTTATCAGTCTCATCCAAAAATATATATTTTTAAAGTAAATAAAATGTACATTTTAAATACAGTTCTTGTCTCTTTAATATTAATGTTAATGTTATATAGGTTGTGACATACTATTAATATAATATATTTGTTTATATAAATATTAATATTATTGTTAACTGTAACATTATCAGTGTTATTTTAGTATCATTGAGATAATATTATAGTTTTTATTAATATTTAGATTTTTTTTTATTTTTATATTTTCTGTTTTCATTTTAATTTCAGTTATAGTTTTAGTCATTTTATGTTTTTGTCATTTTTATTAGTTTTTATACATTTTATAGTTATTTTAGTGTGTTATATTTAGAACAAGTTAAACTAAATGAAAATAAGAAATGTTGCCTATTTTATAATATTGCTGTGTAGTGAGATTTGTTCAATAAATAGTTAATAATTAGATTTCTAATAAATGTAACATGTAACAATATTAATATATGGAGAAGATTTGGAGATTTTCTCGGAAACATTAACTCACATTATCTTCAGAAAATGTTAAAAACTAGTTAATTCTCCACTCAGCTTCACAGTCTCAGGACAGCAAGCATCAGATGAATGTGTGTGGGGTCAGTATCTGTCTGACGTCCGGGACAAATGCATCTGTCAGTGAGACACATTCACTTCACCTGTCACTCTGAGACAGACCTTCATACTGACATATCTATCTCTCTCTCTCTCTCTCTCTCTCTCGCTCTCCACACACAGAGGAATGATGAGGAGGCTGTGGTGGACAGAGGAGGCACTCACTCCATGCTTAAAGCTGGACTGGAGAAGGAGGAGCTAGAAGGTAAATACATACTAAGACAAAACAGAATTTAAACAAAAAATATATATGTATTTATTTTTTTGAAACATTTTTTATTTACGAATATCATATGTGTGATTTTGTTTATTGCAATTATGCAGCAAATCAGCATATTAGAATGATTTCTGAAGATCATGTGACACTGAAGACTGGAGTAATGATGCTGAAAATTCAGCTGCGCATCACAGGAATATTTACATGTTACAGTTTTTCACACAGAAAACATTTATTTTAAATTATAAAAATAGTTCACAATATTACTATTTTTACTGTATTTTTGTAATTAAATAAATGCAGCCTTGGCGAGCTTTTGGATGATACACTGAAAAAAAAAATTGGTATAGCATTTTCTTTGAAGCAGTTTTCACTCAGAAATTGCTAGTAATATTCACAAATAATTCTAAAATAATAATAATAATAATAACAAGAAGTCACACATTGAATTAAATGCAACATTTTGAAGTAGAAAGACTGACATAGTATCTTCTCGTAAAACATGCTTCAGTAATCTTTGTTTTGTTTACAACTTCAAAAAATAATTTTTTAGTGTGCAGCACCCTGTAGCGTCTGGACCAATCAAACACACAATATATATTTTGTTAGCTATATCTAACAAATACTCTGTAA